GGATGAACCAGGCTGGAGTGGAACTACAGGATTATGGATTTTCTCTAGTCCGTGATGTGTAAATCATGTGTCACAAAATGTTTTGCTGTGACCAGCTTTGTCCCAAATATTTGGCAGCTGCCTTGGGTCACGCTCTTGACCTTGCTGCTGGAAGGAAGAGGAGTTTTGGGGCTGGTCCCTTCCTCCGGCGTCTCCATGGCACGGTCAGAAATTCAGATTTATTGCACCTTGTGCAGCTGGTGCTCCACGGGCTGGTTAAAATATGATGGGGAATATCATAGCAGCATTAATATTTCAGCGTTGTGCCCGAGCTGGGTGTTTCCTGTGTCGGCTGGGAACTGATTGCATCCGCTGGAGAGAAATCCATCCCTGGGGCCGCGGCTGTGCTGCTCCCGCGGGCTCGGTGCCCCCCGAGGAAGAAGAGGGGGCTCATATTCCTGGCTCAGGGTGTGAGCCCCGGTCTCCCTGTCCCAGCAGTGCCCAGTTTTCCTGTCCGTGCCCCGGGAGCTGGCGGTGTGGCAGGAGGGCTCGGTGCCCTGGGCTCTGGGGCAGCTCCCCTGGGCTCGGTGTGCCAAGGAAGGCACGGATGGAATTCTGCTCCCCGAGCTCGCTCCGTGTGTTCCCCACAGCCCTGTGCGAGCGCTGCCGTGTGTGTGAGCTCATCCCGGTGCATGGATGTGAGCAGGGCACTGCTACCTGGAAAATCTGGGCAACTTTTCCCTGTGGATTTCACTGAACTGCTCCGCGGCCCCGGGGCTTTGTCTGCCCTGAGCCGGGACAGCCCGGCCGGCTACTCCACCTGGGGATGGGCTCCGAATTCCCACCTTCCCGGCTGAGGGGTTTTTCCTGTGCCGGGTGGGATGTTCCGAGCTGGGCTGTGCAGGGGATGAGCTCCAAATTCCCACCTTCCCGGGTGAGGGGTTTTCCCTGTGCCAGGTGGGATGTTCCGAGCTGGGCTGTGCAGGGGATGAGCTCCAAATTCCCACCTTCCCGGCTGAGGGGTTTTCCCTGTGCCAGGTGGGATGTTCCCAGCTGGGCTGTGCAGCTCCGCAGGGGCCCAGAGCAGAGCTGGTTGCACATCACCCTCTCCCCGGGTGCCTTTTTTTGCCTAAATAAGGCAAACTTGGCTCTGCCTCCCCAAATCCCCTGGTCTGTTTGTCCAACTGCTGCAGCTGGAATTAAATTGATGCGTAGAACCGAGTGCTGAGGTGATGTCCCTGGTGTGGGGTCCCTGTCCCCCGCAGAACAAACCCAGGGCTCTGCAGCCCTTCATTTGCTCTCCCAAATTGTTGCTCCGTTTGTTTTGCACAGATTCATTTATTATTTTTGCGTCTCTCCAATTAACTGATTTGCAATTCATTCCTATGCAAGCGGAGCTGTTCCTGTCCAAGTCGAGGAGCTGTAAATCTTGGATCTATTGAGCTGACAGGGGAATATATTTCATTTTTCCCCATGAATCATTTGCCATCCTTATTGCAGAAAAATGGCAAAATTATGGTGTACTGTGTTTTCATAAATTACTGCTTTTCTCTCCCCCCATACACCTCCCTAATTTATAATTTCCTGGGAGGAAGGGGAGTGTGGGAACCTGGAGTAGCCAGGTGAAGAGGGCTTGTTTCTCCCCAAACTGTCCAAAAGTTTGCCTCATCTCTCTTAAATTGTGTATAGAGCAACTAATACAGCTTTTAGATGAATTAAAAAATTGATAACTGCTGCTGAAATTATTTTGGTTTGGTGCTAAGAGGTTCTCCAGTTAAATGCTGAAGGAAGGAGGGACCTGTAAACAGGAATACTTCACTGGGATTTTTTTTCCCCCCCTTCTTTAGATTTCTGCTCTCTTGCATCAAAATCTTGTGAACTTGAGGAAAGGTCAGGATTTTTCTTGTTTAAGAAATTTTTTACATTCTTATTTAAAACCCCATATCTTGCAGAACAATCTTTAAAATCTTGCCTATTATATTTATTTTCAATTGCTAGGAAAAAATATGCATTTTCCACTTGACGTTGAGCTGGGTTGCCAGTTCTGATGAGTGACTGAAGTAGCTCATTGCATTAGCAAAGGAGCTGGTTTATCCCCCAGCTTAAAGTCAAGTTCTTCCTGGTTTAAAAAAAAAAAAATACAAAAATGTTCATCACAGTAAGCTGTTAAATTGTTTTCAAAATTGGCCATTTTTTAAATGGAGCTTATCCAGCTCTGGCAGTACTTCAGGTTGCACTGAACCATTAAATAAAAACCGGAGACAAAACGCCTTTGAAAAGGGTTAATTAGTTTTAATATTGATTTATTCTATATAGGGCAGTAATAGACTAGAACATTTATTTCTGTTTTGGATCATTAAAAATAGTCTTTGGTTCCCGAACAATTTGTTTCTAATAAATAAATTTTTAAAATAGGACCAATTAGAGTAATTTGGGGTAATCTGTGATGTTGGCTGGCTTTTTAAAAACGTGTAAAACGCTGATTTTTGTTGGTTGTGGGATTACACGAGTGTATCCGGGGGACTCGGGGATGCCCAGCCTGGTACCCGGCCGGCGGAGCGAGGATGTGGAGGATGCCGGCACGGAGCATCCCAGCTCCCCCCTGCTCACCGGGTACCAGCTCTGAGTGTCCCCCCTCGGCTGCGGGTGTCCCCCCTCGGTCCGGGTGTCCCCCTCGGTGTCCCCAGGTCCCCATCGCTCCTCTCTGCCCGGGCCCTCTCCGGGGACGCGGCCACCGCCGCCGCGCTCGCCCCGTCCCGGTGCCGTTCCCGTTCCTGTACTGCCCTCTCATGGAGCGCCGGCTCCTGGCACCGGCAGCACACCTGCAGCCTCGCAGCCCCTCCTGCCCTTCCCCGGCTCCCGAGGGCCCTGCTCCCTCCGGTCCCTGGCCCATGGAGCCGGGGATGCCAAGGGGGAGCCTCCCGCTCCCGGCAACCGCAGGGAGGGGATGTTCTGTGGCTCAAAAACACGGAGTAAACGCGCGGTGCTGGGGGCGGGTGA